GTCTGATAAAATCAGCATGCATCTACACTAAAGAGCGGCTATGCGGTGGTTTTGGCTAGATTACTTTTTTGTCTCATGCAGCGCACTGCCTGCGTCTGAGTAACAAACTAAAAAGTGCATGTGATATTAACAGACGAACTACGCTCATATTTATTATTCCAAGCAATCAGTAAGCGACAGCTGCTAGGAAACGCTGTTTTGTACTAATTTATTGAGGAGTCGGCTGCGGTTCTTGCTAAATCTAGTGCTAAAGTGGCACTGGTGTGTGTGAGACGCGGGAGCTGATGGCAGCGGGCGCTGGATATTTGTGGAGGTCAGTGTGGATATTGTGGATGAGTTCTTCTGTGTCATCACGCTCTATTAGTTCTACAGCTTCAGTTTCTGAACTTTCACGCTCAGTAACACATACAGCTGTTCCCTCACCACAGTGCAACAGTAAAAAGAGACCCCTCTCAAACAGTGGCGCGTTCCCAACCTTGTTTAAGCAACATATACCGGTATTTTCAAAATTAATATCATAACAAAAACAAACACCGGTATTCGGTATGAACCGGTGTACCGCCCAGCACTAGTTTATACCACTGTTTGATGCAGCTGCGTGCCGTATTTTTATATGAAAGTAAAGAAGCTGAAACCTTTAGTGCTTTTCTACAGTATTAAGCCTCAAATGTCGACTATACATCAGACTGCTTTCTTCTTTAAATTATAAAAAAACTAAAAATATGAACGGTATTATATTATACTAAAATTAAAATAATGAGAAAAACCCTTAAGATAACATGTAGAAAGAAAAAACACATCTTAAGCGCGCCGAACACAAGTGGACTTTGAACGATTACGAAACTGTAACCGCGATTAGAACTCGATTAATAGCGCAGCCCTGTGACGAACAGATTTATAGATCATGAATATTTGTAGCATGTCTCCCATCCCATGATTGCAATAATGTGTGTGTGTGTGGTGTGTGTGTGTGTGGTGTGTGTGTGTGTGTGTGTGTGTGTGTGTGTGTGTGTGGTGTGTGTGGTGTGATGTGTGTGATGTGTGTGTGTGATGTGTGTGGTGTGTGGTGTGTGTGTGGTGTGTGTGTGGTGTGTGTGTATGCGAACATGTAGAAAGAAAAAACACATCTTAAGCGCGCCGAACACAAGTGGACTTTGAACGATTACGAAACTGTAACCGCGATTAGAACTCGATTAATAGCGCAGCCCTGTGACGAACAGATTTATAGATCATAAATATTTGTAGCATGTCTCCCATCCCATGATTGCAATAATGTGTGTGTGTGTGGTGTGTGTGTGTGTGTGTGTGTGTGGTGTGTTCACAGGTAATTAAGGGTACCTGTCAAATTAGGGCTCGTCCCTGTCTGATGACATCATTCAGCGCTGCTTATAAATGCTCTGCTCTCTGGAACATTAATTTAAAAACACACACACACACACACACATACACACACGCACAAGAAAATTTATTTTTTACAATAATCTGCATTGCAGTGGTGACATTTTTTGACATTCAGTGATCCATCCTCATCAGGACGCTGTAACAACTAGGATAATTTGATATTTGATGCCGTTGTAAAGTTTAATTACAAAAAAACACACTGAGAGCTGTTATCCAAGTAAATACAACCACTTACTGACTAAAATCTGCTTTCACAGAACATTGCTACTCAAAAACAGGGAGAACAAGAGGACTATAAATATGCAAGCAACTAATGAACTAAACTAAACCGAATGAACACTGAACACTAAAACAGCACAGGTGACCACCAAACCTAAACATCACCAAATCCTCTGGAGACAGCAATGAAGGGTCAAAATCCGTCCAAACTTTTCTTGACAAATTAAAAAAACCACAGTCCATAGTTCAGTGGTTATCAACTAAGGGGCCTCAAAATGGTTTAAAATGCTTTAAGACAAAACAAGTATTTAAATAACCAGAGTTCCCATTATCTTGAAAAACCTAGATATATGAAGTAGCCTAATTTTAAGTGTGGTTTCTACACCAGAAAAGTCATGTAAATTAATACAATTTCAAAACACCACAGTCATTTTTGAATGAATTTTTCCTACATAATTTTTCAAAATATAAATTAAATTTTTAGTTACAACAAAGCTCTAAAATATTATATCAGTTATTAATTGTAAGATTAATTAAAGATTAATTTAAAGTTGTTGTTGTTGTTGTTTTTTAAATAAATTCTAATCTTTCATCCTTATCCAGTAAATCATAAATAACTGGAAAAATCATGCAAATTCATAGGTTAAAAAGAGTAGGAAATTCCTTATTTCTTAGAAAG